CAACTCCCAAGTACCATTCTCATCTAAAGCCATCATCTCTTCTATCATTGCATCATGCCAACCAGGGTAGGACAATGCTTTATGAACAGTTTTAGGTATCCTAGCAGAACCTAATGATGCAATAAACGAGCTAGAAGAAGTAGACAAATGGTCATAAGACACACAAGAAGAAATAGGATAAGTACATTGTCGTGTACCTTTGCGAATGACAATAGGAAGATCCAAACTAGGATCTGAAACACAGGAGGTTGGATCTACCGACGAAGTAGAAGTAGGTAAAGGATCGGGTTCTGAGGTTTGTTGTCGCCTGGTATACACACGAAGAACAGGTGGCTGCTCGGATGGCCGATCGAGGGAAATGGGTGACTGAGGAAGAGGTGTTGGAGAACTAACTGGATGTGTGACAGTGTAGACCAAAGTATCATCTTCTTCCTCAGGACTGTTATAAACATATGAAGAAAAGAACGGATAATTTTCATGGAATGTGACATCGGCAGACACTAAGTACCTTTTGAGATCTGGAGAATAACACCGATAACCTTTCTGAAGACGTGAGTACCCTAAGAACACACACTTAAGGGCCTTTGGATCTAATTTAGTTACCTGTGGACGAACATCACGAACAAAACAAGTACAACCAAATATTTTGGGTTCAATAGGAAATAATGGCTTAGAGGAAAAAAGAATGTTGTAAGGAATATTACCATGAAGTACAGAAGATGGCATACGATTTATTAAAAAACAAGCTGTAGAGACGGCATCAGCCCAAAAACATTTTGGCACTTTCATTTGAAAGAGGAGTGCTCGGCCTACTTCAAGAAGATGTCTATTTTTTCGTTCCGCAACCCCATTTTGAGAAGGGGTGTCAACACAAGAAGATTGATGTAGAATACCATTTGTAGCCATATAATCTTTAAACAAATCCGAAAAATATTCTTTTGCATTGTCACTCCTTAAATTACGAACGGAAACATTAAAATGAGTTTTTATTTCAGCACAAAAAGCACAAAAAATTGAAAACAACTCCGAACGATTTTTCATTAAATATAACCAAGTAACACGAGAATGATCATCCACAAAGGTAACAAAATATCTAAAACCAGTTTTAGAGATAATAGGACATGGACCCCAAACATCGGTGTGAACTAACTCAAAAGGTAAGTCGACCCGTTTATTGACTCTAGAAACTTTAGGAAGGCGATGGTGTTTAGCAAACTGACATGACTCACAATCTAAAGAGGAAATACTCTGAAACTGAGGATATAACTTCTTCAAACTAGACAAGGATGGATGACCCAATCGACAGTGTACATCAAAGGGAGACAACACAGTTGAACAAGAAATGGATTTCGGCACCTGTGATTCAAGAACATAGAGACCCCCAGACTCAGAACCTTTACCAATAATCTGCTTCGTCGTAAGATCCTGAAAAAGACAATAATTGGGAAAAAATGAGACACAACAATTTAGAGTACGAGTAAGTTTACTGACAGATATTAGATTGAAAGAAAAATCAGGCAAATTTAAGACGGAACTAAGGGAAAGAGAAGATGTTGGGTTAACAGTGCCAGACCCTAAAACATATGAGGTAGACCCATCGGCTAAAGTAACTGTGGAACATTGGGTATGTGACTGAAAAGTGGAAAAGAGTTTAGAGTTACCTGTCATATGATCTGTGGCACCAGAATCAATGACCCATTTGGATGACGAAGAGAGGAGACACTTAGTGGTTTTACCTGACTCGGGGATAGTATTGATAGGAGGAGATGATGACTGAGATGGTGAAATAGTCTCGGAAGTGGCGATGTTGGCATACTGAGATCTTTTGTTCTTATTCTGAAGCTTCACACAATAACGTATGGTATGACCGAGCTCATGACAATAAAAACATTCAACTTCCCCTTGCTTTAGGTCTCGACTATCGCTACTCCGATTGCGATTACTATGACTCCTATTCTTTTGGACGCGGCTAAGCAGAGCACCACTATCGATCGTGGTTATCGGACCTGGATGAGACTTTGCAGTACGCAACACTCTTATAAAGGCCTCTTTCAAGGAAGAGATAGCAGTCCCAGATAAAATTTGTGATTTGGCCCCTTCAAATTCGGGAGAAAGACCAGAAAGGAAACTCATGACCGCCAGTTGTTCATACTGAGCCTGTTGTACCTTCACATCTTGACAAAACGGCAATATAACATTAAGCTCATCATACACCTTCTTAAACTCTGAGAATTAAGTGGTGAGAGAGCGATCTTGCATGGATGGATGGTAAAATGCCTGGCACACATCATACATGCGAGACAAGTTTCCTTTGCCAGAGTACAAAAAGACTAAATAATCCATTAGATCCTTCACATAATTACAATGAGAAAGTAGATCATTTACCTCACTGTGCATCGAATTCTTGATTTAGAGAAACAATTTTGCATCCTCCTTTAACCATACTGATTTAGTCTCATCCTTGGGTGGATCATCAACCAAGTGGTTCTCTTTGTTGATGCTCCGCAAATAGAGACGGATCGTCTTACTCCAATCCATGTAATTGGAACCCATGAACTTATTCTCCGTAATTTTGGACATAACCGGAATGACATCAACGATAGGTTTCGTTTCAGTCATCTTGCACCCAAATAATAGCAGAATCAATTAGTCAAGAACAGTGCAGTGAATAGTGAACAGTGATATTTGAACAGTACAGTGAACAGTAAATAGTAATATTTGAACAGTGAACAATGCAGTGAATAGTGAACAATACAGTGAACAGTGCCTGAACAGTGATCTTGGAAAATGAAAGTTGTCAGGAAAAAAAAAATTCTGACAGTACCACTTTGGTCGGAATAGTGAGTAGAAAAATCTGTAAAGAAGCGCCCGGGGAAAAAAATGGCCGAAAATAGTGAAATAGAATCAAAGTAGCAAAAAACTGTTCTGAACAAAAATAATTCGAACGGGGAAAAAAAATTCCCAACAACAAACTGATGAAAAAACTTCAATGCTCTGATACCATGTTAGAAACCAAAGAAGTTCTATATTTCATATCTAGAAGAGAAGATTACAAGGCCTATTTATAATACTAATTCACCTAATCTATTAGTTGTCATACACCTAATTACACCTACTATACAACTCATATACATGTGCTAGCTATGATGTAGTACATGTGTATACATGTGCTACACAACTTGTATTACACCTACTATACAACTCATATACATGTACTAGCTATGATGTACTACATGTATATACATGTGCTAGACAACTTGTATGTCAACATAACACAAAATCTATTCAAAAGCTGCCCAATATTTGGCCATTGGTGCAGACATGAACTGGCTAACAACACTTACCGCAAAAGCAATATCTGGACGAGTCACAGTAAGGTAATTTAATTTCCCAACTAACCTCCTGTATCTCTTTAGATCGTCAAAAGGATTACCATCATCTTTCATAAGATGCACATTAGGAACCATTGGAGTACTGCAAGGTTTAACTGCCAACTTTCCAGTTTCTGCAAGTAAGACAAGAATGTACTTTCTCTGAGACAAAAGAATTCCCTTCTTGCTTCTATTTACTTCTACTCCCAAAAAGTATTTCAACTGGCCTAAGTCATTTGTATGAAACCTAGTATGCAGAAAAGACCTGAGGGAAGAAATCCCAGCATAGTCACTTCCTGTGATAACAATATCATCAACATATACAACAAGGAGAATAGTGCCAGCTACTAATTTCCGATAGAAGATTGAGTGAACGCACTTACTCATTTTCAACCCAAACTCCTGAACTAACTTACTGAACTTGCCAAACCAAGCTCGTGGACTCTACTTTAAGCCATGCAAGGACTTCTTCAAATGACAGACTTTCCCATACTCCCCCTAAGCAATAAAACCGGATGGTTGTTCCACATACACTTCCTCCTGAAGATCACCATAAAGGAACACATTCTTGATATCCAATTGATTTAAAAGCCAATTCTTTAACGCAGGTAGAGAAAAATAAGCGGACAGAAGTGAGTTTGGCAACCGGGGAGAAGGTGTCAGAATAATCCACCCCATAAGTCTGAGCATACCCTTTCGCAACATGTCTGGCCTTAAGTCTTGCCACAGAACCATCTGGATTAACTTTAACTGTAAAGACCCATTTGCATCCCACTGGTTTCTTTCCCTATGGTAAATCTACCAAATCCCATGTGTGGTTGTCCTCTAAAGCATGTAGTTCCTCAACATTGCATCAGACCATCCTGGATGATTCAAAGCCTCCTTCATTGTTTTGGGTACGGAGATGGAGACTAGAGAAGCAATCATAAATCTAGACGTAGAGGATAAGTGGTCATAGGAAACAAAGTTAGCAACAGAATATGTCGATTTGCATGTATGTGTGCCTTTGCGAAGAGCAATAGGAAGATCAAGGTTATCTGGAGGATCAGGCAAAGGAGAATCAGATGATGCAGGAACTGGTACGGGATATGTATCATTTGTCTCTCGCCTCCGCGAATAAACTTGAACAGCTGGAGGTCTTGCTGGAGCAGGTACTGAAGGCATAATAGTCGATTGGTGCTAAATAGAAGAATTGGGAGATCGAAGAGTATCATCTGATTGTTCTGTCAAAGTACGGTTAACCTGATATACTAGCCACTCATCTTCCTCCCCCTGGCTTGTAGAAATGGGAGGTGCATAGAAGAATGGTGTAGTCTCTGAAAATACCACATCAGTTGATACTAAATATTTTCCAAGCTCAGTAGTATAACATCGATACCCCTTCTGAAGGTGAGAATAGCTTAAGAAAACACACTTCACACCCTTGGGAGCCAACTTGGTAAGAGATGGTCGAACATCTCGATCATAACATGTGCTTCCAAACACATTAGGTTCCATCGAAAATAATGAGTTGTTCGAAAAAAGAACACTATAAAGCACATTACCATCGAGTACACTAGATTGCATGCGATTAATCAGAAAATAAGACGTAGAAACCGCATCAGCCCAGAACTGTTTAGGAACCTTCATTTGGAACAAAAGTGCTCGAGCTGTCTCAAGTAGATGCCTATTCTTCCTCTCAACAACTCTATTTTGAGAGGGTGCATCAACACATGGAGACTGATATAATATACCATGTTGTCTCATGTAGGACTGAAATAACTCTGACATGTATTTTTTAGCGTTATCACTCCTTAGAGTACGTACTGAAGCATTGAATTGAGTTTTGACTTCAGCATAGAAGGAAAAAAATGAGTAAACACTTCAGAGCGGCTCCTCATAAAGTAAATCCAAGTCATTCGAGAAAAATCATCTGTAAAAGTAACAAAATACTTATGCCCAGTTTTAGAAACAACCGGACATGGTCCCTAAACATCATAATAGACTAACTCTAAAGCTGACTCAGCTCACTTATTAACCCTTGGACTTAACAAGATGCGATGGTGTTTTGCAAAATGACATGACTCACAATCCAATGATGAAATATTCTGAAACTGAGGACAGAGCTTGTTTAACAAAGGCAAAAAGGGATGTCCAAGTCGACAATGTGCTTCAAAAGGAGACACGATACTAGAGCATGCAACAGAACATGGCTCCCATTCATAAAGAATGTAGAGATCACCAGATATATATCCTTTACCAATAACCTGCATCGTCTTAAGATCTAAAAACAAACAATGATCGGAAAAGAATGCAACACAACAATTAAGGTCTTTGGTAATTTTACTAACAGAAATCAAGTTAAAAGCCAAGTTTGGTAGACATAATATAGATGATAGGGTAATAGAGGAAGTTGGTTTAATAATATCAGATCCAACACTACTACAAGTTGATCCATCAACTACAGTAATCGGAGAGGGTGCTTTATGTGAGCGAAAGCTAGAAAACATATTTGGATTACCTGTCATGTGATTTGTAGCACCGGAATCCATCACCTATTTATTGGAAGAGGTAATAAGATATGTTTTATCTGACCCAGCAAAGGCAATACTGAAGAAGATTCCTTAACTGATTTATGATATTGAAGGAATTTTAGAAACTCACCCGAAATCAAGCTTGTTGGACTAGGAGTTGTTGCAATATTATTCTTTACCAACATTTTTTTCCTTTCAATAATAAACTAATTAAATTAACAGAGGTCCCCGAAGCTAAAAGATACTCAAACAGATCCTGGCAGATACGAATCAACAATCTATTAAATAGGATTCAACTTTAATAATCCACTCAACCAAATCAGAGAACCAAACGAATTTGTTCCCAACTCAAACAAAATCAGAGACCAATAAAGTTTTGATAAGGAAAGACCCAACAGACAATATCAAGTCACTAATTGATCACCACAGTAAGTCAAAAATAAAGATGCAAGCTTCTCACAGAGGTAGCCTCCGAGAAAAATACCACAGAATTGAAGAAATCGAATAACCAATAAACCAAACTCAAACATGACCAAACAAAGTGAGAATAAGATCTGGTCTGAGGTTGTTCTTTGCCAAAATGTGGTTCTATGATCAGAGAACCGCCACAAGTCAACTGGAATTGTCAAAAAGACCTCAGATTAGCTTCCGGCCAAGGAATTTCCGGCAGCAAATTCGACTCAACTCCGACGAGCAGTAGACCTGCTCTGATACCATGTAAAGTACAGAGACAATAGAGAAATCTCTCTTATGTTGTATTCAAGAAGTAACAAGTATATATACAAGTACATAGAGCCTTAACTATGGAAAAAAACAAAAAGGAAATCCTATAAATCTGCTGTGAATCCCTATAGTTATGCTAGCTATGTATATTACATAAGATTATGTCTACATTCATTATCTAACAGTGAAAGATTTAGGGCNATATATATAGATATTCTCTCTGTTTCAATTTAAATGACACACTTTCCTTATAAAAAGAATGACACATTTCTTTATTTGAAAATAATTTAATTTTAAACTTTTTATTTTACCCACTTTACCTTTAATGAGAAATTTTTATAGCGAGAAAAATGTCATGATCTCACAATGCTTTTTGCCCCTTAAGTTTTAAGGATCGCATGTTTCAAAAGTTTTTTTTTTCTTAAACTTTATGTCAAGTCAAACTACATCATCTAAATCGAAACAGATAGAATATATATCTCTGTATAATCTATGTATATTAGCTGAAAACGCAAATAATAAAGCTAATCAGTTATTTGTGTAAAGATTCCCTGCCTTTTCTAAAGGCCCATTAGCTCATCAACAATATTATCCGTTTTGGGCCCAGGCCCGATCAATTCTTTAAAAGTGTTGCTAGGGTCCATGACTTGTTAACTAATATACCTAATATATATCTTTCTCATGTTTTATTGATGTGGAATGTACCCCTTAAGGATTCAACATCCCCAGCGTTGTTTGCCCCAGAACATCTTAAAGTTGTGAGAATCACATAAACTCAATCAAACGCGTATACGTGATAAACACTGACAATATTTCATTTTTTCAGAACTTTGTTCAACCACAAACTTCGTATAAGAATCCACTCAGAGATTAAAATAATAGGAGTAACAGCTTGTAATGCCAGAAAGGATATAATTGGCAAAAATGGAAGCAACCGTGTAATACTGAAAGGAGAATAATATTGCATGAAAGACATTTAAGAAACATTGCTTTTAATGTAGGTTTTCCAACTTCAAGCTAAGTTATACCTTAACCTCTTTTAATATATATAAGTCACTATGAAATATATCTATAAATTTCCAATAAAGGAAGAATCAAAATCAACGTATCATAAATGAACAAACATTAAAAGAAATAAAGTTTATGGTCCACATTTGGGTGTAGTTGCTCGAGCTCAGCCAATAATATTGAAAAATCAACCATTGTATATAGTTTAGGTTGGATATCATTTGGTGGTATCGTATGAGCTAGTTATAGTACTGCTAGATATCAAATAGCAAAATGTGGCAAAGGTGGGATCACAACTTTAATTGATAACTCTCGAGGGCTGCCAAACAAAGAAATTAATAGGATAGACCGATCGATAGGGACTTCAGTGAAAAGGCTTCTATAAAGTAAACGAAAAGATCTAAGGGAAGAAACTTTACAAGTTGGTTAATTCTCACTACCGCCAAAGATGGTAATGGAATAAATACGATCTCTTTATTTATAGTCAGAAAAATCAGGTTCAAGGCTCCAAATTAAAAAAATCCTAGTAGAAAGTGCTTTCATTTCTTTCATGGGCTTTATGCAGCGGGACTATCTGACCTAGTCGTAACCCCAAAACGTGTATCTAATATTGAATGAGAAGTAAATAGAAAAGAGCAAACTATCCTGTATAGCTCTTCAAAATTTTAATAGCCCATATTTTCCCCCTTCGACCCGAAATGTCCCTTCGGCCCAACGTTATTACATCTAATAGCCCATAATCCATAAACCACCCATGTCTTTTAACTCGCTCCGTTATTTTCCTATTGCACTCGGCTCTCTCAAAACACCTTTCTTCTCAAACACAGCTTCTCCATTTACTCTTGCTCTCAATGTAAGTCAAAATTTCAGTAGGTTTTCCGATTTTTGTTCATAGTCGACTCTATAATAGGGGAAAAGAAGTCTTTGAAGAAAAAAAGGAAATCGAAGGCATCTCCAAATTCTCTTAAATTAGCTGGTAAATTAGTGAAATATAACCCTAATTTCATTAATTTTATTAGTAATAATGATGACTATTTTGAAGATTTACCCAAATTTGGGTGTGATTTGGGGTATGCAACCCCTAAATCTGTTGAAGGAATGCAAAATACCCCTATTGAAAGAATGCAAAGTACCCCTGTTGATAGAAGGACTCGTTCTCATAGCGAGACTCCCAGCGATAGAGTAACGAGGTCACAAACTGCTCAGCGTGTAGTTGTTAAAAAAGGCACAAGTTCAAAAAGAAAGATTAAAATAGCGGGAAAGGATGTTGTGAAGGATAAGGGTAAAGGTTATAAAAGAAAGGCTAAAAGGGATGGGGATGATGTTCCATAAAAAAAGAGAAAAGTTCATGTTGATCAAAAATATTCTAGCTTATCTGATTTGAAAGTATTTTCTAATGATATAACTTTGACTTGTGTGCGCTTAGTTTATTTTAGTATGTAGAAAATTTATCCAATATAGCAGTTATGTTCCAGATTTGTATATAAAACGTATCATTCTTTTTTATATTGCATATAAATTGTATCAAGTCAATAAGTAATGTGCAACTTTTGCATATAAAGTGTATCATCTATCCGCATAGTGTATAAGTAATATTTAAAGTGTGTATTTGTGATTGTTATGAAGCTTATATTTTTGTGTTGTTTGCAGTTTGGGATTACTATATTCCTTTGGGTGATCATTATAGTACTCGTATCAGTGTGCATACAAACTGCAGTATAGTGAAACATTTGAAAGATAGTTTGGATGATCAGCAGATTGAGATGTTTAGAAGAACATGTTTTGGTTATTTTGTGGACTTGCCCGAATTTTTTATACAGAACCAACTTATCCATTCACCATTGCTTAGGGAAGTAGTGTCACCTTAAGATAATGAGTTATGGATTAAAGTGAATAGCACCAAGTTGCGCTTTGGACTTGCAAAGTTTTGTATTATCACAGGTTTAAAACGTAATGGTGATCCCAATAAGGATTATGAATCTGTCCATTCGAGTCGGTTGATGGAATTGTACTTTCCAAGCATGTCGAAAGTGTCTAAGAAATTGTTAACTGAATGTTTCTTAAAAAAGATGTGAAAATCTGATGAGGATGCATTAAAGATTGCAGTATTGTATTTCATTCACAGTTTCCTATTTTCCATTACGAATGATGATTTGATAACAAAGAATGATTTTCTGTTGGTTAAATCTGGTGATTTTAAGACTTTCCCTTAGGGAAAAGTGATTTTTAATGCTACGTTGGCAATGAAGGATAAGGTTCGTAGCAGGAGAGAGATGTATCAATATGGTGGTTTGTCTTTGGCATTCCAGTGTTGGTTTTATGAATGCTGCCCCTATACTCACAAAAACCTCGCTTACCGGATTGGAGATCTTGTGTCACTCACACTTAACTGGAATGTAAAGAAGAAAGTGACCTTTAAGAGGTTGAGGAAAGAGTTTTTTCTTTTAAGTCAGGAGCAGGTAAAAAATATACGTTTCTGATACATAAATTATACATTTCTGATACATAAATTATACATTTCTGATACATGAATTATGCATTTCTAATACATAAGTTTGTCTTTTGTTTTTTTTTAAATTTCATGATTGCTAACTTTTATTTATTTATTTGTAGTTGGTGTTTAGTAATATTTCCCCAACAAATGATGATTAAACAAGGCTTCAATTGCATGACTTTGTCCCGGTTTGTAAGGATAAAAACGAGATTCATATTGAATTTGGAGTCGTGACTGAAGTTAAAACAAATGCTAAGAAGCACTCCAAAAATAAGCCGGAATCACAATCTATCAACAATGAGAATCCGGATCCACAGCCCAGTAACCTGAATTCAAGCGAGAAAGAGCTGAAACTTCTGGGAAGTAAAATCAACAAGGTACAGTTCTATTTTGCCTTTGAGCAGTTCTGACAACTTAATTGATATTCAGTTTCTCTTTTTCGTTTATAGGTAAACGACAAGGTTTCATCTTTGGAGTAGTTAATGATTTCCTCATTTGAAAAGGTTTTTAAAGCTCTAGGTAAATGCGATGCTTCAAAGGTATTCTCATGACTATGCTTATTTGTTATTTTTACCGGTTACTATAATTTTACAATTTTTTGTATATTTTTTCTGAACAAGGTAATCAAAAAAATGACGACCATCATGATAAGGAAGTTGAAGAGAATAATTTTGGTAGTGAGGAAGTTATGGAGAAAAATATTGACATTAAAGAAGTTGTAAAGAAAAACGTTGACAATGAGTTTAGTCTAGAGCAAACTGTTGATGTTATGAAAGGTGTGGTGAAGGATTCT